TCCATCTCTCGCGCTCTGCCTCTCTCTGGCAGTCAGTTGAATTTTTAATTAAACTTCAATGGCAAAAGTCATCCAATAATGCGGCATCAGCGCAAACGTATTTATGCCTGAGTTATACAGAAATTAGTTGATCGATAGAGTTGCAAACATTCAAGGTCATCAATCAACTATATTTGGCTTGCGAAATGCGGTTCTGTTATCCTTTTCTGGCATACCTCAATCAGAGTATAATTAAATACAAATAACAGCTGTAGTGAACTTTTAATTAGCATTTAATTGTGTTAATCAAATTCACTCACTTAACCGCAAAATGTCAGTAATTGGAATTTTGTTGCGTGTTTCGCTTGTTCTCCTTCTCAAAATTCAAATTAATTACTCGCATTGTTTTTGCGCTCAACTTATAGCAAAAAGCCAAGTTATAGCAAAAATGCTCAAGTATTTTAATTGATTTTTAAAAATCGCAAGCATTAATTCAACATGTCCTATAAAAAAATGTGTATGAATTTATAGGCATTTATATATGTATATCCACAGCTAGGATCACGTCGATAAAAGCAGTTGTACGCTTTTTACATTTCATCTACGGGCCTGCAATTACTGCGAACTATGCGGCCAAATGCTAGCAATAAAAGGAAGAAGTAGAATTTTGCAAATTGAAAGATACCCTGTAATTACATTGCAGAGCCTATAGAATAAATTGTATATTTGTTATGTATGTCAAATTATTCAAATTGTATTTAAATAAAATAGAAAGAGAAGCTACAATACTAAATTATATTTTAATGTATATAATAATGATTCAAAAAAATATTTTGTTTATTATTTATATATATGTAAGTATTTCTCAGTAATAAAAAAAAAAAATACAATTTAAAATAATAAAATAAATTAAATATTTTTATTATATTTATAATTAAATATAAATAAAACATAGTAATAAAACAAAAATTTAAAAATAAAAGAATTTAATTTTTTATAACATTTGATACTTTCTGAACAGACCTCGTACATTTCCGCTTCTAAAAGACATGATTATTCCATTACACTTAAATAGGTTGTACCCAATTGCGGCGCTACTTAAATTACAGGGTATACTTCAGCTAAATATGGCGGCACTAGCAACGCGGAATAAAAAACATTTTGTGACCAATGAAAAAATATCAAATTCACGTATTTGCATGCTCGCCTTCGATATTTCTTTTTGTGTTCTTTGATTTGGTGAATCGCACTGATGAGGGTCATGCTGGGTGTGTGGCGTGGCGTTTTTGTGAAATTCCACACGACCCGAATATTTGTCAAACAAATTGGTTGGACATTATTGAACATAGTTTATTTACATGCACATAAAAGCATATCACGGGTTTGTAAATTGGATCTGCTTTATGTCTTCTTTTTTTTTTTATATAATTTTTTGCTAATTTTAACAAGATTACAAACAGCAAAAATAACAAAAAGTAATCTTTTTTGATGCCACATGCAACATGTGTATTTACTCTTTGAATTCGAATTACTGCATTTGCAGATTGTAATGCGCTTTAAATTGAATTTGCATATGTGAAGCAAATATGCAGGTAAAGCGTCGATAAAATTGAATTTGAACAGCCGAAATGCACACATATGTGCATATACTTTACAATATCACTGTGGCTGTTGTTGTTGTTGTTGCTGCTGCTAAATGCTCCATTTAACGATGTCCAAATTGAATTTGAATATCTGACAGAGCCTGTGCGAAATGCGAATAAACGCATTCAATTCGATTCCAACTAATTTCGGTCTAAAGTTTATTTAGAATGTTAAATATTGAGAGATTTTTGATGGTAAATTATTTTATTGGCCAGCTGAATGATGTATATTAAACAGTTAGAATTAAATGCCAAGACTGAGCTTGTAATTCATATATGATGCGATTATGTTGTTATATTTGCCATTTATAGATATTTATCTATTAATTTTGAAATATTTTAATTTTTGTAAGTAATTTCTTGCTTGCTTACATTTCTATTTGACTTTAATTGCCCTTAAAGGTCATTTAAACAAATCACCTCAATCTTTGACCTAAATTGACAATATAAATAGATTCGCTAAGACTTTGCGCTGCGCCGCAATTTTCAACTTATTGAAATTTAAATTTAGCACAAACAATTAAATGCGTTTACATTGAAGTAGCAAGCGGAAGAATGTACTCAACTGACAGTCAAGGCAACATTTCGCTCTCACTTTCCGCACGCCACTGCCTTTGTTTGAGAAGTGCAATTAAAGTGACTTTCAGTGCGAGCCAACGACTTTATTATCCAAAGTTACGGTGCCATTCGCGGCGGCAAGCAAACACAGAGAGCTGGGTAATCTTGTTACGCTGTTATATAGCCTCGCTAGCTTCCCATAATGATGATGTGCAGTTTTGCCACGGTTTTCACTTTCACGAGCTAGCGCAAATACGCAACATAAAGACGGCACTCATACGCCTCGTGGTACGGAATATAAACTACCAGCGGCAAGGGTGAGGGCATTTGGGGCACGTGTGTGCATATTTTTAATTATGCGGCCACACCGTGATAACTAGCCGTGAACAAAGTTATTAAAAACAACTCGGCTGCAGTGTAAATATTTGGCGAACAAAGCGAGATCTCTGGCAGCAACAATGGCTTTGCATCTAATCTCTGGCTGACCATCTTTTGATGGTCGAGTTGCTCAGGCGAATTGCCAGGCGATTTACATGGCGATAGGCAGCAGGATTCAAGGCCTCAACGACTAGTATTGTATTAAAAAATACAAAAAACACGCAGAGAAAAGGAAAAAATGATAGCAAAAGAACACGAGTTGTAATGCCTTGTAAAGACTCCGCAAATCCTTTATGTAATCCGGCTTTGTGTCCAGCTCGTTGATAACCTAAAAGTGTGCAAAGCCGAAGAAATGTTAGCGAACTACATCAAATATATACATACATATATATTTATCTATGTATACATACATACATACATACATACACGAAATTAAGGTTGCGGCGCATCATCGGAAGTTAGAAAATTGCTTAATTTTCGCAGCAGGACAAACGAACAGACGAATAAAGACAGACACTAAAATGAAATAAACCTGAATATAAATCGTTCGAGCACTGTCGGAGCCCAGAGAAAATCATTATATGGCTCATTTGTTTGCGCCTCTTCAAGAGCTGCTTATTATATTCTGATTATTTTTGGCACGCGTGTTGCTCCAAAATAACGAACAATGAAGAAGACGGATGGGCGATGATGGCCCTGTAGATACCCTATAAGCATATAATAATTATATTTTTTAAATGCAATATTTCAGCACTGTTTATGTGGAGATTAAAGTCTATTAAAACTTGTATGCAAAATAATAACTCTATTAGTCAATCAATTGTTAATACCTAATGAGTCTTAGACTTCATTTATTTGTCGGTCAATAATAAAAAATAAATATTTAATTTAATTTGATTTAATTACTTATTCCGTCAATTTAGTGCTCTTTTAATCAATAAATCAAATTTTTAAAATAAATTTCGATCAATCAAAACTTTTATTCTAAATCTCAACTATACCTTTTATTCAATCATCAATCTATTTTATTAGTCACTTATAATACATTACGAAATATACACATTTTTCAGCTAAACACTCAATCAGTCAATCATATAATACTAATTATATAATCAAAAATAAATATCTTTTGACTCTAATCTACTCAAGCTCGCCTTCATTATACCCCTAAGCATATACAGGGTATCACAAGAATACAACAGAATAGCATTTTCAACAGAATCTTGCCCCGTTGTCCAGTGGCTCGTTGTAAACAAATTCATAAATATACATACATACCTAACACAAGGCTCTGTTCAAGCCTAAAGAATGGTCTTTGGCCTGCTTTTCGCATAATTTTTTCATTTCATTTTCTATGTGCGTGTGTGTCTGTGTGTGTATGTTTCTTGACGGTGGCAACGCTCGTTTGGCCTGCTTTGTCCATAATGAGATATCTCTATTTCTCTTTTGTTTCATTTTACTTTTGTAAATATATATATATTTTTTTTTGGTATTACTTTTTTTCAGCTCAACTGCTCGTCGTCTTTCTTATTATTGTATGTGTATGTGTGTTGTTTTTGCATTCAGTAAATGCCTCTGGGAAATTCGTGCAGCAAAAAATCTTTGGGCTCAAACAGCAATGATGCCGTCAACGTGGCCTTATTAATTAGAACACGCGCCCCACAGTTAGTTTTGTTTTCATCGTTTATTTTATTTTTTTGTAATTTTTTGCTCTCCGCCAGATCGACACTTAATGCAATCTCAACCAGCATTCCCCATTGCCGGTGCTCCGCACAGTTTTAGGTAATTTAAATTCATTGCAATTTTCGGACGGTCCGAGCGTCATTTGCATATGAATGAAAAGAGTTGATGCCTAGCCAAACGAGGGCCACAGCAAAAAAAAAAAAAAAAAAAAAAAAAAAAGATGAAGAAAAAGGACACCGTTAAGTGAAAAGCTACGTGTCATTCATGACCATCATATTTAATAATAGGAGCGTTTATATCATTATCAACTGAGAAGAAAAAGAAATACAGGGTATTTATATGACATTCTACCAGATCTAAAGATTGGCAAACTTTATATTGTTATTGCCCTAGCATTGTCATTGTCATTGTCATTGTCATTGTCATTGTCATTGTCATTGTCATTGTCATTGTCATTGTCATTGTCATTATCATTGTCATTGTCATTGTCATTGTCATTGTCATTGTCATTGTCATTGTCATTGTCATTGTCATTGTCATTGTCATTGTCATTGTCATTGTCATTGTCATTGTCATTGTTATTGTCATTGTCATTGTCATTGCCATTGCCATTGCCATTGCCATTGCCATTGCCATTGCCATTGCCATTGTCATTGTCATTGTCATTGTAATTGTCATTGCCATTGCCATTGTCATTGTCGTTGTAATTGTCACATGTACAAAATAAGCAGATCAGATAGCAAAAGAAAGCCAGGACAATTGTAGGTTTACTAGAATTTTCTATATTTTTTTATTTATTTATATTTTTGGTACACTCATGGTATCTTTGAATAGAGACCGCAGCTAAAAACAGTGGAGACAAGAGTGTGACTGTGTAACTAAAGACAACTAACTATGACAAATTCAAAAATTTTTAAAATTAACTAAATCAGGCAACCAATCGCAGTAGAAGTGTTACACCGGGACAAAACTGAATTCAATTGAATCGATGTGAACATCATCTGTACCAGAACGTTAGCCTGGCTAGATAGACTTGCAGAGTGCAACAGAAATTTCATTTTGTAAATCCAGTATTTAGCCAAGTGTTGCCCCTCTCATTGTACGTTAAGTTTGGGCGTTAGGATGTCGCAGTTTCGGCTGCAGCCGCCTCCTCGTTGACTTTCATAATATCCTTTTCGATGGTCATCTTGAGCTTCTGCAGATCAGTGTCCAAATAAATTTTGCGCTCGTATTTGCTGGCCAGTTTATCGATGGTGCTGTTCAAATGCTTCTTGAATATCTCCAGCACTTCGCTGTCATTGGGACCGATCGTCATGTGGCCGTTCAAACAGCGTTGGAATTCATCTTCGGCCAGTGCTTCGGCGAGCTTATCCTCAATGGAGTCCTGCTGCTTGCGAATCAGCTCGATATCAGTCTCCAGTTGGCTCTTCTCGCGATGGAGTGCCTCAAAGTTGTACATTTTCATTTTCAGCTCTTGGGTTAGGATAACGCCGGGGTTCAACTGACGGGCAAAAAATCGTGACTGTGGGTACATTTCAGGCTCGTGAAGAGTGCTGCTTCCTCACGAAATCGATATTGAGTATTTAAATGGAATTTTGATGTGAATTTCTATTGGCTTGAAGGGAGGCAGTAAATTTTTTTTATTATTCCAATACAAACAATTATTTCAAAAGCCTGCCTGATAGTAGAGCATTATATATGTATGTATATGTGACATATATCTATATTTATTTATATATAAATATAGTGTTTTTTATATCTATGTATTTGCTGCGAAACCTGAAGCTTAAATCTTCATTAACGTTTCGCACTGCGAATTCGTATGAAATTAAGGCCACAGCAATCTCATTTCCGTGTATTTTTCGCGTAAAACTCACACGCCCGCACACAATCAGGAGAAATGGTAGCGAGAGACGGCGTGCGAAAGAGATGTTGCAAATTAAATTGCGTATACGCACAGTTGCCACTGTGGTAGCTGCGGCTACATCAATGCTCGTTCTGTTGACTCTATCGTTAAGTGCATAAATTGAATAATGCGTCGCGGCAGCAGCAGCAGCAGAAGCATCGGCAGCAGTGTCAACTCAGTCACCGATAGAGTTACCAGATCGCCATATTTGCGCTTTAAATTTATTGAATTTCCTCTTTGGCGGAAAAAGCGAGCCACATAAACCATTATTTTATTACTTTATCTATCGATGCGACCCGCGTGGCAGCCACAACTGACCGCAAATTTACCAAAATCTCGTTAGCTCTTTAGTTGCCATAAACTGAACCATTTTATACTCACATACATATGTATATGTACTTATATACATATGTGTTTACGTATATTTACTCTATATACTCGTATTTGCTATAGTAGCTGCTGTGTTTTTGTGCATAGTTTGTCTTTTGGCTAGAGCATTCAATCAAAGTTATTTGAATGCAGTCTAGCGAAATGCAAATGAAATGCATTTAACAAGTTGTTGCAACTTCTTGCAGCTCGCAGTAGCTTAGCGCACAACTTAATTTACATTTATATCCACAGATCTGGCTGGCAGCAAGACCAAATAAAGCCAAACTAAAACTTTTATTGACATTGCCCGGAGCCAGCAGCACCACAAAAGGGAGGAACAAAAGGAGCGTACGCTTGGTATACTTAATTTATTTGTTCTTACCTACTTTGTTTTGGGTTAAGCAGTAATGCCCAGAAGATTCGACTCCATATAGCTCTGTACGCACTTGCCAGACAGAATCGCTTGCATTTTACATATTGTATGAATACTTAAATTAATTAAATCACATTGACCAAGAGCTAAGCCAGACGATTTTAGCTTTAATTGTGGACGTTACTTTGATTGAATGACTGCCTGACTGAGTCAGGGAGTCAGTGAGTGAGACTGAGTGATTGGCTAGTCAGCAGTTTGAAGTCAAACATTTACCACTTGGCTGCATAAACAGACAGCTGCAATTGCCAACTGTTTTGACTGTCCTTTAAAAATATTTGGACAATCGGTCTGAGGCAAGCTGGAGGCATATTAAATTAGGTATATATATATACGAACATTTAATACAGTATCCGTTTGTTCATTGACTTGAAAGTCACGCACTTTATTTGAAATACATAAATATATACGTTTTCTTTGCTTTGACAACTTCAGTCTGATTGTCTCTGCATTGAATCACTGCACAATTTGAACTGTCTCGCACAATCAAAGCCAACGTCTTTGATTTACATTTTGAACAAAAAAATATATATGTATGTATGTCTTAAACTAATCAATAAGCAAATTCCCTGAATTTGACTTGAATCAGCTTTCTTTTTTTTCTTTATTATTATTTTTTTCTTAATTATTCAAAAAGCAGTAGCCATCATGAAAAATATATTCTATTATCCTCGATAAAAAAAAAAAAAAAACTTGTTTGTATTTCAATAAAAGCTAAGGCACATATAAACTAAACTATAAAGAAAATTCAAATTTATGTATGCAAATGAACAAGCGAAGGCCCAAATGACTTCTCAAATTTATCATTGATGGCTGAAATTAATTGTAATTTCATGAATTGCATTTGAGTCAAGTCGAGCTCGAACATTAAGTGAATAAATTACACTGCAATCATTCAAGCATTTTCAAAATCTAGCAGCAAAGCACTCAAGACAGACACCAAGAGCCACTCAATACTGGGCCATCAATAACAATTGGAAGCCACAAGTTCAGCTAATTTGCTCAACGAGCAGGGATAGTCATAAAAAAAAAGGATACTAGGCAATTCGAAATTTTGAAGGTCGATTCTCCATTCTCTCTCTGATTATGATAAATGGCCGCAGCTAGCATATTTCACAACGGTGCTGAAAAATGGAATGATGCGATAATGAGGCATTATTAATATCATCTGGCGACTTATTTAGTGACAGTGCAAAATTATGCAAAGTTGGACGCGACATTGACGACGGCGTATCCATTGTCGTCCGTTCAGACTTAACCCGTTCTTTATGCCTATCTGCGAAGATACAAAGAAAGGGCAGAAGACAAAAAATAAAAAATAAAAATATACAAAAAATAAGCCTTGGCACTCTGGGCGCTCTTCAAAGTGTCAAGAAAACAAATGACGGTCAATTTCTTGTGTTTATTTTGCAGTTATACTCATTAAAAATAGATATGAGGAGTGTGTTGTTTATCTGGCAACGAATACAACAGTCATTAAGGAAATGACGGACGAAAGTGGGAAATAATGGGTTGAGTTGTTTTAAAGATGTCTGTAGTTCTGTCTGGCTTGGCTTTAAGTATTTTGATTATTTATTTCGTTGAGCTTAATTTTTATTAAATTAATATTTTATATTTTTTGCTTATAAATACTCATATATTTTTGTTTGTTTTATTTGTAGTTATATTTTTTAATTTTTACACATTTTTCAAACCTTTTTTTGTTTTACTTATGTTAACAGCTTTATATCAATTTTCCCTCCTCAATAAATGTATATTTTATTTAATATATTTTTGCCCATCTATCCTACATTGATCAAAAGTAAAGCTAAGAAGCAAAACAAAGTAAAACTAATTCAGTTTTACATATACACAGACACCATGCAGACTTTCCCTTTTGACTATCAGCACTTGATAACAAAGTACTACAGGGTACTTTCTATTCCTGGACTGCCCGCCAACAAACTCCTACTTTTTATGACAGACCAGAGAGTTTGTTAAGACATACAAATATATATATATACTGGCCAAGTTTTTTTTTTTTTTTTTTTTTTTTGTGTGTGTGGCAAGTGGCAAGTGTTAAACTTTTCGTATACGCAACGCTGCCTTTGCTGCCACTTGACAGGAGCGAAACGACGAGACGTAAAGCGCAACGAAGCTTAAGGCAAATATCCATCTAGGACAGGTTGGTAACTCGAGAACATAAAAGAGCTTTCGGCTGCTCGTATTTGGAGCACAAAAGAATAAAATGAAGCCTATTAAAAGCGAAAGGCAAGTATTGCATTTACACAAGACGCGGTCTTATCATAAATATATATATATATATACATATATACATGTAAATAAATAAATATAAATAAATAAGAAAAAAAAAAATCGCTTGGCTTTAAAATTATTAGGTTTTTTTTTTCGACAGTTGCCAAGCAGCGCGGCTTTTATTTCATTTTTTAATCATTTCCCAGGCAAATCTAATGATGAAAATTAATACACATAGATAATGGGCTGCTGGTTTGGCTATTTTCCCACAGGCTCAGCCACGCCTCCTACTGCCTACTGCCTACTGCCTACTGCCTGCTGCCGTTGTCGCTTCGCCTGTGCGCGTGTGTAATCTGCTTAGTGTCATTTAATTGCGAGCCCAACTTTAATTAGCTAATCAACAATTTATGCACCATTAATTATGTTAAGAAGCTCTTGTAATTTCTATAGAGATTATATGTATATATAAACACGCGTATATATCTGTATATATAAATCTATTCAATCTTGAAATTAATTCGGCAAGTTTCGAGCTCTCAATAAGAAAAATTGAATTATATTTCTCGTATATATATATATTTAAATTTATGTTCAAGCAAAGTCATTAGCTTGGACTTAATATGATGACAAGCAGACGGCGCAAGCTTAAGTCGTTAAGCGTCGCTTTTTCATTTCTTTTACATTTTATATTTAATTATCTTACTTTATGCGATTAAGAAGCTCGACAAATTGATAAATATATAAATTAATTTCGCATTTTCGTTTTTATTCTCTTATGATAATATGCAATTGTATTTTGAACTTTAAATTGAAGCTGATGCATTAAGCTTTAATTTAAACAACTGACCCACAGATGGCGCCACTTTAAGTTGAAATAGGATATTTTAACGCTTTTCTGGTTTGTTTTACTTAGTTTTTAAGTACTTGAATAATATTTGTTATTATTATTTTTCCCCTTTTTTTACATGAACAGTATGAGTATTGGTCAACATGATATGAAAGCTAGCAGATGACGTCGATTGCTGACACATCGTCAAAGATTTTCTTCAATTTCCGATTTGCTATTTTGCATATATAAGCAAAAAAAAAAAAAAAAAAAAAAAAAAAAAAAAAAAAAAAACGCAGCTTTCCATGTTCTGGCCATGTCAGTCAGCAGAAATATTTCTATTCTCCCCCTTCTCTCACTCTTTCTCTCTCTCTCGCTCTCTCTTTATATAAATGCAGCAATCCTCAGCACTTTTTAGATATATGAGCCGAAAAAAAGAGAACATTTTAAACTAAAAGCAATTCGGGAATTGACAGGAATTTTCGAGTAGTGCAACTGAGCGGAATTCGGAATTTGTTTTATTTTGCACGCACACAAAACGATCTCAAGTGGAAAAATGTTTAGAGTGAAAACAAATAATTGTACTCTACATGCACATGAGAGACTGGAAAATTAATTAAACTCACTGTCAATGCAGGGCAAGGCACAAAATGCTCTATTGCAAAAGGCCTATTCGTGGGCCTTGCTGTTGCTTTTCAATTTGCCTGCCGAGCACAAATGGCCGAAGAACACAGAAAATGGCAATAAAATATGGCTGGGGTGATAAGAATGATAAGGAAACTATGCGAAGCCACCAAGCTCAGCGAAAATGTGCGTGTGTGAGCGTGTGTGTGTGTGTGTGTGGCACACAACAAAAGCCGGTTATATATATATATATATATATATGTATATACATATAAAGCATAGAAAGGTGGCAAACAACAACAA